AACAAGTTCTCCGCTTAATGAAAATTAAATATATTTCAAAACAATCAGTTGGGGCAATAACGATTTCTGAATGTGACTACAGGGAGCTAAATGTGAACACTCAAAATGCATTTAACTATGTATTTAATCAAAAAATCATTACATATCCACTCTTGCGAAATTTACGTAAATTTCTCAGAAGAATGCAATTTACTTAACAATTCTAACTTGTTAACACATTTGAAAGCATACTACTCTGAAGAAAATTTTCAAATTAGAAAAAATATTTATATCTCTATTTGATAGTTTGTCAACTAAGCCTAGAATTTCCAACGCATACCTTTTTGAGATGAGCAAATAAGAATTTGGTCATCCTTGCCAACAATTTGCGAAAATGTATACCATTAAATTATTTCAGAATTTTTTATACTCTTAAATATGCAGAGATTTGAAATCCTCGAAAAAGTCAGAAAACCAAAAGAAAAATTAAAATTTTGTCCCATTTATAATTATTATTGATTTTTTTTCATCATATTTTTGACTGCTTTATAAAAAAAAAGTTATTTTTCTTTGTAGTTTTATTTTTTAACTATTCCAATAGTCCAACTAACATTTTTTCGTAATAACAATAAATACATTTTTATCATGGTCCAACAAACGCGCACCTTTAGCCGAAACCGGCATGACCGGTAAAGATGCCGCTGCGAACATTCGTATTTGGTCTAGGTAATCTGTGCCATGGGTACAGCACGTCACAATGAGGACAGCGCGTAAGAGAAAATCAAAGTATGTGGGACAGCGCCCTGCTTGTGACGTATAATCCATCGCATGTGTTCATCTCTTGCTAAGCGATATTGTCGTTGTCCTTGTTTTTCGCATCATAATGAGAGAGAAAACAACAGAGGCACACATTTACTGTGCCTATCTTCCACTTAATTTCGGAATACTCGGAATGTCGCTCAACGCCCGGTCGTCCAGTGTCGTGCCAACGCGGTTTGCGCTGAATATTAGATAAAATAATAATAGGCATTGAGGAAAATATAAAATATGTAAGTTTTTTTTTTTTGTTTATTATACTAGGGCACGTGCCCAAATGCCCTTACGGGAAAACCGCCACTGGATGAAGATGTGATATGTGATGGAAAAAAACACTTCAAAAAAACACTTCACCAGGATATGACAGTATAGCAAGGAACATTTTAATGAAATTTAGTACTACAATGCACCACATATTCTTAAAATATATAATTATTTCATACAAATTCAACACTTTCCTCATGAATGGAAAAAGGTGTAATCATTGCCATACCAAAATCAACACAGATCATAAAAAAAGTTACAAACCACCGACCGATAACCCTACTACCAGTTCAAAAGAAAAAAAATCGAAAAATTAATTTATTTCTAGTTGTAGGAGAATATATTAAAAAAAGCCAATGTTCAACCCTTGATCCACTAATAATTTTAACATCAAATCTACAAACATCCTACAAAGAAGGAAAATCATTGACTTCAGTTTTTATGAACATAAGTAAAGTGTTTGATAGTGTGTGGCACGCACGCCTACTGAAAAAAAAAATTTCAGCCAATTGCCCAATCTACTGAATTAAATAAAAATCCTCTCAGGGGCGGATTTCGAAACCTGAGACCTTTCGATCTCAAAGTCATTACTCTAACCACACAATTATGTATTAAACACAAAAATAACATCTCAAGATATTTCTCAATGGAGCAGGGAGTTTTACAAGGATCTCCATTGTCACCATTTTTTTTATATATTTTTTTCTGCCATGATATATCTCACAATTTTCTCTTCAATAACCAGATTCAGTCTTCATACACCTTTCAGTTTGCTGTTGACACTATCCTTATAGCTCACAATAAATCTCTAAAAAATAACATCAATGAACTTCAATGTTTATGTAATAGTACAATTTCCTTTTTCCATAAATGGAGAATCAAGCCAAATCCTTCCAAAACCAAATTCATCATATTTAATTACACCTTAACCTTAGCAGATAATTCTCCAACCATAATCATTTAAAATCATATACTAAAAAACTACTCAACATTGTAAATATCTAGGGCTAGAACTAGATCACAAACTCAATTTCAAATATAATTTTTTTTAAATCTGTTTTCACAGCAAGAATTATATCAAAAAAGGCAACACTTTAAAAATACTTTTAATTATACAGGGTTATTCAAGAAAGTGATATATATCAAAGTGATCTTTTTTATATTTGAATTGCCCTCGCTTTCCCCATTATAACAAATAATATGAGATTATACCGTGTATTTCACACGCTATAACCAGTTTTATATGAAAATCGTATTGATTTCAATGACCTGTATAGTGCAAAAGAAACAATTGAAAACCAATTTTTTTGTGGTAAATGGTTTTCGATATTAGTCAGCATCTATATTAATAATGATACTCTCCCTAATTCATCCCCTTACGAGTGAATTTCAACCCCTGAAGCCAACAGAGTGACTTATGTAGGGGAAGGGACAGCTATTATTATTATTTGCCGTGGTATACATTTTAACTAATATCGAAAACCTTCTACCGCAAAAAAATTTGGTTTTCAATTGTTTCTTTTGTACTATACAAGTCATTGAAATCAATACAATTTGCAATACTTTTTTCAATTAGAAGCAAATTTGTACAGGGTGAGTCAAAACTCAAATACATCATTTTCTCGGTTTTTTAATTATATCGCCATTTAAAAGTACTTTAATTAAAGTTTTATTTGAGTTAAGCATTATTCCCTATACCTAAAGTTATTAACCTCGAGAGATTTTTAAATTTAAATGAGAAAAAAGATAATTCACAAAATACTCTAATTTTAACGGGTCACTGGTTAATAGGAAATAGACTGTTAATTAGTATTTAACCAGCTATAATTGATTATTGACTGAATAAGTTTTTGACAATACCTAATGCGACTTTTACATTCAGTAAAAAAATAAATAAAAATACCAACCGAAAACTTCAAATAATACTTTGTTCAAAGTTTATTAAGTAGCCTTCAATATTTATGGAGGTCTTAAGGCGGTTTTCATTTCACTTTTCTAAGCATTTTTTAAGGTACCACTCAAAATACTTCTCTTATTCACGACTAAAGGTCATTTAAAAAATTTGCTAGAATTTTTAAAAAATAAATATTGCAACACTAATGAAGTGAGTAATAATGAACTATCAGTATTCAGGTTTCAAAGTCAACTTAAAAATATAATAAAATTATAATAAAGTAGGTTTTATAATTGGAGTAAATCTAGAATTGGTTGCTATTGGTATTCATTTTTAACAGAATGTCAAAATGGCCAAAAACTTTTTTACAGCTGGTCACTAATTAACAGTCTATTTCCTGTTAACCAGTGGCCAGTTAAACTATTTTGTGAACTATTTGTCATTTAAATTTAAAAAACTCCCAAAATTATTAACTTTAGGTATAGGGAAATGCTTAACTCAAATAAAAATTTTATGAAGGTACTTTTAAATGGCGATATAAAATACAGCGTGGTATATTTAAAAAAATTGAGTTTTGACTCACCCTGTACAGATTTGTTTCTAATTGATAAAAGTAGTGCATCGGCATACATTTTGACTAATATTGAAAAACTAAAAATGGTTTTTAGTTTTCTTTTGCACTATACAAGTCATTGAAATCAATACAATTTGCATATGAAACTGGTTTTAGCGTGTGAAATATTCTGTGTAATATCATACTATTTAGTATTGCTATTCGCTCCGTGCGCGACAGCAGCGCCAATTTGTTTTGGTATTAAAGGAGTATTTCTGCCTATACTGACAAATACAATTTTTAATAGAATTCGTAAATAAAAAGTATATATGTTAGTTTTAATAAAAGTATATGGATTTATAAAACAATTAAAACATTAATTTATTATTATTATTATATATTTTTCACGCTTAAATTGAAGAAAATTATGTATAATCATTAAAATTCAATAATAAAATATAGGCAGGCAACAGTATTTACTGGAAAATGTATGAGAAGTTGCCTAAGTCTAATAAGTTGTCATTGAAGAAACCAAGTTAAAATATATAAAAAGGATCGCTACTTATATTTTCATTTTTGTTCTAAAGAACACATAGAATGAATGATTAAAACTGGTTTCCGATCAGTAAGTCACAAAATTGCATACCAGCCAAATATTATAATCAACGGCAGAAATCTTGAAATCTAGTCCTTGCTGAATGAACATTTAAGAATAAAGGGATATTAAAGAACATCGTAAAATGATAATTTATTGTTTATTTAAAAACTTTCTAGTTTCTGATGTCTACTATTTCCAGCATTACTGTTATTATCACAAAAATAAAGGTAATTTTTCTTCTTATTGTACACCTATCCATTTATTTCTTTGATTTAATTTCCACTTTGTTAGTGAAATTTGTTATATAAGTTTCACTGTTTTTTTTGCTAGTATTTGTACAATTTTCAACACAGCAACTCCGGTTGCTTATTGTGTTGTTTTTACCTACTTTTTTGAAAAAAAGTAAAATGTATACGTGTATTTGATATGCCAAAATTACAAAATATCCCCCTAAAATGCACGAATTATCCGCAGCTAGCGCTAGTATCGCTTTTGCTTCCCTTTCCATGACTTCGCACGGAGCGAATATTAGGAAAGGCGAGGGCAATTCAAATATAAAATAAAATACAGGGTGCTCCATTTAAAAAACCTAATTTTGATATGTATCCCTTTCTTGGAGAACCCTGTATAATTGAAATTATTTTTATATTATTGCCTTTTCTAATATACATCTTTCTGTGAAAACAGATTTTTAAAAAATCAAATAGATCTGGCTCCAACGACCGGTGGCCCACCCTGTATATACATACAATGTATTATTGTTCGGTAGCCATTTGGGATTATCCCCAATACAGTTTTCTTTTTCTTCTCCACCTAAGTAAATGATTTTGATTTTGTCTGGATAGAAATGAAGCATTTAAAATGCTAAGAACAAATAATAATGTAAAATTAGGTACTTGTTTGGTTGGTTGCATGGTCTGTTAGATGGTTATTAAATTTTTCCCAAGAATCGTAACTTTCTTCACATTGATCCCATTCGCATTGCAAATTTAATGGTTCTTCGGATAATTTAATGGGAGGAGGGACTTTTCTTTTTCTTACCTAAAAATATAAATTATATTATTTTATTACATATTTATTGATACGCATCCCCATTTTTTATGTAAAAAATATATTATTAACATTATTATTGTAAAAATTATTATTGTGAAATAGGAGTATCAATCTATCACGGAGTCGGAACATTAGCCAGAACCTAACCTTACTTTATATTTCTTTGAGTTCAAAGTTTATTCAACGTCACGAATGACACAAAACAGATGATATTTTTATTTAATAATTTTCATTGTTGCTTCGTCGACTCTTTTATGGATGTCATCGTAAAATTTCGATGTAAAAAGTACATTTTCGAGATAATGAACTGAATATCCCTCAACAACACAGTGAAATGTTATCAAGTCTAAGAGAAAAAATTTTAAATGTCTCATTGTTTACAAACAGCGAGGAGCAATATTCCAAATCGAATCCAGTAAATATCAATGCAGGAGCGGAAATTTTAACCCATTTTCAAAGCCAGTGGGAGGAACTTCACAAAATAAACGAAGAAAATGCTACCAGAGCAGAAAAGGTAGCTAACGATATTGAAACAGTTTCTAGCTTTGTAAACAACAACAAGAAGAACATAGCTTTCATTAACCATATTCTATTGAATACAAATTTATCAACCAACATTAACAAGTGTCTAGATAGTATTAACGACTTGTACAAAGGTTCAGAAGCCTTAGAAAAAGAATTAATACACCTAGAAGATCTTATAGACCAAGCTGAATTCAATAAATTAAAAAACAGGCATAAATACCATCTAGAGCAATATGAAAAAAGAAAAGAAGACAACTTTGTGAATGTTAAAATCGCTTTGGAGGCCAAACATTTAAAGAAAGTTGAACAGTATGAATCTGGTAAAAAAGCTGTAATGAAGGAAAGACAGCAAGTGTTTCAAGACGCTTTCAGAAGCGATCTTGAGACGTATAAGAATTTGGGAACTGTGCCGAAAATTAAACAAAACCAAAACGGTGCTTTATTGGAAGAAATCCAATTAGATTTCGACCAAAACGAACTGGATCAATTTTTCAATGAGGAAAATGCATAAATTCTTTATTTCTTATACATAGGTATTGTTACATTTGTAGAGATTATATTTTGTACATATATGTTTATATTAAACGAAATATTTACTTAGAATCCATGATATCCTAGTGAAAAATGTGATTAACTGAAAACTATTGTAGATAGAATTTGATATTATATATTTTATACATAAAATAAATGGAATATTATTTGAGTTGTGGGAAAATAATTTGTAAAAACGTAAAAAAATAAATTTTGAAAAACAGACAAGTATTTTACTAATTAGTTTTTATTAGATACAGAAAGTTCCTAATTCTCGTTCTCAAAGGCTAATATGGGGTGCTTCAAAATAAGCACAAGATTTAATTTTTCAATAAAACATTACTCAAAAATTGTAAATATTTTTTATTTTAATATGAAGTGTACATAATGTCGATTATGTATAGAATAGAACATCTAACAAATGGCTGTTACAAATCTGTGTACACTCTTGCTCTTTTAGAAAAAATGCTGATTGCATTTTCAATATAATATCCAATGAAACATCGAATTGAAATGAAAGCGAAAAACTGAAATGAAATTTTGGAAATATGAAAATGAATAATCCCCAATTCCTCCTACGAGATTATGAAAAATACACCCCCATAACCTCAAAGTAAAAACAAAGAAAAATTGAAAAAGCTGAGAATCAAAGAAAGGGGAGATTATTCATTGTCATATTTCCAAAATTGCATTTCAGTTTTTCAGATCTCAACCGATTTTTCTCACTTTATTTTAATTCATTTCAAGTTAATGGAGGACCGTACTTGATAACTTAACACTGGTGAACGAATGAGGGATCTTAGAAATGTACATTTATATTGTCGTCCTTCTATACAGTGTCATAAGGGTGGCTTTAAGAAAACTGAGAGAGCTGGGTTGGGATTAGAATTTGTGTCTGCTGACAAGAGTCGAAATCAAATCGACTTCAAATCTACGAGTTCAGATGTCGAAACGATATGTCTTGGTAGCTCAACTGATAAGAGCATGGACGGCTACAGTCCGAAGGTTCCATACACTCATTTTTTCATTATGTGTACTATTTTCATTAAAATTTCACCTCATTTAAAATAAATTATCCTATTCATGTAGCGTGATGCGTCTACTTGACATATGTTACATTTTTAGTCTGACACTCTTGATTAAAATAAAATGTCCCAAAATTAAAATCTTGTTTCTATTTTTAAACACTGTTTATGTTATGTTAGGAATGGGGTGTTAATACATTGTTTAAATGACATTTAGGACTCTGGACACCTGGGCCATGTCACCATAGGAGTTAGCCAACTAGTGTTTAACTATCGATGATGTGGAATGAATGAGGAGTGAGGAAAGTAGTAGGACCTTCAAATGGTAGTACAATAAGCCGCCACACTACAAATGGATTAGGATTTTAGCACAGGAGATCCGAAGGGTGTAAAAATAATTAAATTTTAGTTACACAATGTTTCTTCATCTGAAATTATTGTTACTTCAGAAGTACCTCAAGATTTTCACCTAGGTCCTCTATTGTTCAGCCTCTTCATTAATTATATTTATAAAGCATCTCCCATCACCACTTGCTACTGACTAATATGATAGCTTCACCTCAGAATGAACATATGATTTATATTTTCTAAATCAGGAGTAATATTTGAGAATGTTTTTATTGAATAAAATTGATTTTCATTATGATCTAATGTATTGTGAGGGTATAAAACATTTTAAATTATTCATAAAAAGATAAACAAATGGTTTTAACTGCACAAAAATGTTGCAATTGTGAAAAAAGTATTGTTACTTACTGGCTCTTCCCGTTCATCATCGATAATCAATTCAGACTCAGATGGAGACGAATCGTCAGAGTTCCCTCGATAATTAAATTTTCTTTTGGGCTTTTTGACTTCTTTTATATGCTCAAAAACCGCTAATCTATTTTTTCGCTTTACATTCCCTTCCTGATCATCCATCTTAAGATGGAAAGTTCGGAAAAGGTATTTAAGAACTTTTTTCAATATATATTTGGAGTTTGAACATATTAGAATTCAATGAATGGACAGGTACTATTTCAGAAGAATCGGGAATATCATACATTTCATTCAATTTTACCCATGGAAAATCCTGAAATTATTAAGTGTTTAAAAAATATTTCAAAGTTGCATCAATCGATAAAAAAAAAGGTGTAAAACATTTTTTTGAGTTTGACATTAATTTGCTTTATGTAAAAACGATACACTTTAAATGAGGGCTCTAGTTCCAGAATGCACAATCTTTAAAGTTAAAAAAAAATGGCTTAGTTGCATAATGTACATCTCCAATAATAATTTAGTTTTAAATCCTACAAACTCCTAACTCATCAATTAAAAATTAAAGCATGCAATTAACACCTCGGGTGGGAAAGCACAGAAGCAGAGGGAATGCCTACAAGTGAAGAAAAAAACAAAGAAGTTTTATAAAAAAAAAAAAACAAAAAAACAAAAAATCAAATTAACTTATGTTAGCTGAGTCTGAAGTATGTTTGTTCATTAAGTCTAATTAAAGGTTATTTAGGTACCAAGTCAGCAAAGTGATTATTTATCGAACTAGCCTGAGATTATGAGCAGAGTGAGAGAAGAGAGCAAGGCAAGTAACAGTCGAGTTTAATAAAAGACCCTTTGCTGACGTGGTTCATACAAACTTTTATCGCCAACCGTAAATAATTATAATTAATACAAAAGGACAAATTAAACAAACAGAAAATAACAGCAAATACAAACAGTGCAGACTATTTCTGTCAGACGGTCATGGCTATGTTGATAAATATTAGTGGCAGATAAAATATTTAATTTTTACAATAAGATAAAGTGTTTACTTCCGCAAATGGCTATGGTAATGCATGACTTTATTGACAGTTGATAATAAAAATATTTATCTGAAATAAAAAGCATTTTTTATTTCCAAAGTGAACAATCTCCACCAATAAATTTCATAACTTACAATCTCCAAACGTTTATGTAAATATTTTTAAAACGGAATGAGTTTTTCCTAGAATTCCAAAAAAAATATAATAATAGAGAATGGCATCTCAGGAAACATTCAAATGTAAATTTGTTTAAAGTGAACTAGGCCCCCTCAAATATGAATCAAAATGACTATATAAGTAGGTTTAAGAGGTATTTTTTTTAAAAAAACATGAGAATAAACTACTTTTATTTTTGAAGATACAAACAAAAATAATAAAAGTTTGTTAGAATTACATTTTAGGTTGATTGAAAGTCCCGATAGCAAAAATAAAACGTGCAATATAAAAAGTTATAGACAAAAAGAACTTACACATTAATATGTCATAGAAAAATATAATAATCTTCTTAAAAGTGTAGCAATGGAGAGGTAGAACCTTTAATATTTTCTAGTAAGTTATTAGTTTGCAGAACCCTTTGAAAATACAGAATTTTCACCACTTTTGCATGATAAATATGTGGATTATGAAAGTGGTACCAATGGATATAGTAATGGAATTTGTAATGGTGCATTTTATGAATATCTTTTTCTTTTATTTAAATGCCCTATTTACTCTAATCATCTTATATATTCACAAATCATATGATTGTACAATCTACATTTAGAATTATTATACAAACAAAAATATTCGAGAATCGTTTTTTAAATAAATTGGTTACAATTTGATTTAATTTGTGTACATTCTGGTGTATCTTGTAATGTACTTACTTCATACTTCGGATTTTGATTAAATTCTAAATTAGAATACTCCGTAACTTGAAGTCTAATACAAAATGTGGAGTCATCAACTAAATTATCCAAATAAATTAGAGTATTGTGAAGTCTTAAAATAAAATCTCTCATGTACTCTTCTAGATTAACTAGTAGAGGATCGCTGAAAGGATAAAAATAAATACAAAACTGCATTTTTCGTTATTGACACTACAAAACTAAATTCAAACCCACAGTGTGGGATGTGTACCAACCTCTCGTCAATACTCTTCAGATCTACAACATCAAAAACATATTTTTCAGACACAGAACCACCTGACTGAAAACAGAGAAATATGTTTTTCAATTGATTTTTCTTCGTATGGAAAAATACCGCCTTCAAAGCTTCGTTAATGTAGTTATTTACATCTGGTTGAATGCATTGAAATACAGGAATGCCATACTTTCTTCTTCGCGAGAAAATTGTGTCTGGGTACACTTTTCTGGCATATAATATGTTATGAATTAATACTTCAATAAGTTCACACAATATATCCGATGGGGCTGAAAATAATGTACGTAATTTATTTAAGTTTCTTAGGAAAATGAGAATATTTACCAATTTTCACGGACATAACCGATAATTCCAACAAAACATGTCAACATTTGACATTTCCAATTTCCAATCATTTTCGAAAAATTTCAATCCCGCCTAAAATGAATATGCTACGTTCCGAATCGATTATTGAATCTCTTTAAGAACAAACCGGACCTCTCGCGGAAGCAAAAATATTTAAGGATTTAAATAAAATTGTATTTATATGTGCCGCGTTTGAGAATCCACATCGGATGCATTTTTTACATCTCGAGCGTTTTTTTATTCACATCGGACACATCTGTCCCATTACATTTACGTATACTGAATCACGTGATCAAAGATTTTTTACATCTCAGATGCATCCGATGTGGATTCTCAAACGCGGCAATGGACGATATGTCTCGAGAATATTGAGAGCCTTAAATGTGTGTAACAATAAGGCAGCATTCTATAGATACGGTTAAGAAAAAAAGGTGGAAAATCCTCTCATTTAAAAACTAGTAGATATTTATTAAAACAAAAAGCAGCAAATTTTCATAGAATTAATAGAAAATGCCACGTAAATGTTTTTTTTTTAAATCCTTTTCAAAATTATCAAAATAAATACTTTTCGAAGGTTTACAAAAAAATTAAGTTTTCTCCATCCTAAGTTTTGTTAATTAGTATTTTCTAAAAATTTCACAAAAATCGGACTAAAAATAAAGGCTCAAAAGGAATCATACATTTTTAAGGTGTTCGGTTTGCTATTAAAGGTGTCTATAAATAATAGAGCTGGTCTCGCCTTGCTATATGACCCCCTCGAGGTTAAAATTCTTATAATCCACATGCCTTTTATTAAAAAAAATGCTAAAAAGGAATGGTTAATGGCAATTTAGCCCTCTTTAAAAATTATGCTTGGAGCATGCTCTGAGGGAGCAGCCGCTTTGTCCCAACAAGGGGCAAAGTTCGTCAGATTTGTACAGTGCTGTGTACCTACTACACGCCGCGCCAAATAGGATTGAAGTAGACCCGTTGCTTTCCATCATACAATGTATTTCCACTTAATTGAAGTGGCGTGTTCCCATTCTACAAACCGAACACTAATTGTTACAGCGTTGTCTGTATAGAAGTACATAGGTACGTTTATTTTATTATTCATTCAGTACATTTGTATCACCGAATTTAAAAATCTTTAACAAATCGCAAGCCGGCCTAAACCCATAGCAACAGTAAATGCAATTTAACGGTTTTTCGAATTCCAGGAAAAAACATATTTGTACAACTTTACACACCTACTATGTCCTATTTATGCGCCAAAATACAGTGCTCTGTCTCACTCTCATGGAAAATTTCCAGTAATTTAAGCTTAGCGCTAACTTTTTCACACTCGTAAATCTGTTTCACTCTCGCTTACATGAGTATAGGAAAAAATAGACCGTTAAACGCATAAATAGGTACAAAGGGACAACATATTTCAAAGAAATTCACGCGAAACATCGAATGATGTTTCCTCAGCCAATGACGACGAGACACACCAAAAATTGCAATCCTTTGCTCTTCCACTCGACAAGACAAACAATGAGACTGTCTTACCTCCGACACTTGTTTTTTCTTCCGTCGCGGGCTGCATTTTTTCCAGATAAGCGAGCTTTGTTTATAATAGTCTATCGCAGTGTGATTCGATTTCGGTTTTGTAGATTATTAGTTTTTGTTAATTCGACAGCGTTTCGACATTGTATATGAAAGACATGGATGATGTAGTTTATAAGTTAATAAACGAAGAGAAATGTTTTTTAAATACGCGTTTGAGTATAAGTTTGATAAATTTGCTGCTAAAAAGAACCGCAGAATAGAATTAATGTATAAAAATGAGGGAATAAAAGATGTAAAATAATTTCTATTTTTTTGGGATAGGGGGCAGACTCTTGCAGAATACTCAATTCTTTAACCACGAGCCGCCACTGATACCCACCAATAAGATATGTGTTTAACGAAATATTTTTACCCTAAATAATCAAATTGAACTTCCTTTTTACTTTCCTATCTGTATACAGATATAAGGAAAGTATAGGAATCATGATTTTTTTCGACCTCGAGTTTTTGACGGATTTTTACGTTTTGAGGTCCCCTGAATCCGTTTTGACTATTTTCGCGATGATGTCTGTGTGTGTGTGTGTGTGTGTCTGTGTGTGTGTGTGTGTGTGTGTGTGTGTGTGTGTGTGTGTGTGTGTGTGTGTGTGTCTGTATAACGCATAACTCATGAACCGATACACAGAAAAACACCAAATTTTAAACTTAAGCTTTGTTTCAGCGTCCAATGAGCTGATTAGATTTTGGGCAGAGTCGGAACATCTGGGGGGTACTTTATAGGTGGTCATTTTTATATTTTATGGAATATATCTGTTATTTACGTTTGGAGAAGAAAATTCTTCAAATAAAAGTTACTTCTAATATAATTATCTATAATTTTTGTTAAATGCAAAATTTTCCTAAAATGGTCCGTATTCGAGAAATTTGACAAAATGTAAAAAAAATAATTTTTTATAAAAATTGTTCAAATAAAAGTTGTTTGTAATATAATTTTCTATAATTTTTGTCCTATACATAATTTCTCTAAAATGGACCGTATTCGAGATATTTGAGAAAATGTGTAAATTTCGAAATTTTAAGAAAACTCAAAAACGGATAAAGGAAAAAACATTAAATTTTAAACTTAAGGTTTATTTCGGCCTGACGTGAAATGATTAGATTTTGGACAAAGTCGGAACATCTGGGGGGGTACTTTATGGGAGGCCGTTTTTATATTTTATGGAATATATCTGTTATTTATGTTTGGAGAAGAAAATTGTTTAAATAAAAGTTACTTCTAATATTATTATCTATAATTTTTAATTTATGTAAAAATTTCCTGAAATGGTCCGTATTCGAGAAATTTGACAAAATGTGCAAAATTCTGATTTTTATGAAAATTGTTGAACTAAAAGTTGTTTGCGATATCGATTTCTATAATTTTTGTTTATATATGATTTTTCTAAAATGGACCGTAATGGAAAAGTGCTAAATTTAAATTTTTCTGTATTTTCGTTTTCAATGAATATCTATAGAAAAATGTTTCGAGGTAGATGTATGTGGAAAATGTATATATTTAGTTTATCCTCTAAACATTTATAGAGATGCTGCAATAGGTTGTACAAAATAACCGGAAAATGCCTATAATAACTAGATAGGAAAGTCATGTGTTGGACACATCAGATTTTTAAAATTATAAAGAAACCCTGTGTTCATCTATTCTGGGACCAAGTTATGCATAATGAACGAAGTCTGCTATTGTTAATTTTAAATGAATGTAAAATATTAATGACAATCCATACTTTATTGATTTGAAGAATAGTTATAGGATTTTTGTTTATTCATTCTTGTAGTCTTTAGTATAAAGCATGGCAGATATTGAATATGACCAATCATCAGATTTAGGAATAAATTTTTTAAGAAAAAAATTTTATCCAACTAATGTAAGTGTTATTTTTTTATATAAAATGTTTGCACATTCCTATTAAAATCATGTAATGAAAGTTTACTTTTACACATTTATAGCGTGCGCGCACTCGGCGACCAGGTCGCGACAGCCAGGTCATCGCGACTACGACATATTTGCTTCAATGGTGGCGTCCAATTTTCTAGTTAGCCGTGGCGACCTTTTGGTCGTAGAGTCGATATTGAGGTCGCAACGACCTGCAACTGATGGTCGGCTATCAGTGCGTGCACGCTTTTACATACATGATATAAAAACAAATTAATAACATTAAAGTAAACAGTTTATAAAATCTATTGTATGGATGCGGTTTAAACATAAAAGGCTCAACCAGGTTCATGTCTAATATAAAAATACAGTTTAGAAACCGCATCCATGTCCTTACTCCATACAACTGCTATATACATACAGAAGATTTCAATTTTTTTATGCATGTACCAATTTTGGATACTAATTAAAAAAATATATATATATAATAAAAAACTTAAGTAACTGACCTAACCTGTACGGCCTGGAGCCATATAAAACAAAACAGTTGGAGATTGCTAAAGCAGAACATTCATTGGGACAATTTAGCGCTTGTCAAAATGAAATGTAGGTAGAATATCCATAATGACAATTGATTTATATTGGGTGCTAAATTGTCTCATTTTATTTATTTCAGACCAATAAACTGTACTCATACTGTATTGTACTAACGTCTTTCTTTCACAGAGATTCTCTGGTCTTTCATTTATTTGTCTCAGCCGCAGACTATAAAATAGATCAGACCACAAGATCAGACCCGCCTTAAAATCAATCACTCGCGAAAAATTTCCTTGTGACATTTGACAAATAAATGACCTTGACAATTTTTTATATCGATGACATGACACTGACGTTTGTCTCATTTGTTTTGACGTTTTTGGTGTACCTATAATTCCAACAACTAATTTTTGATTAGCTAGTAGATTTGCTTTTCAAGATTTATTTCTGCATTAAGATTAACACCAGACAAGAAATTATGTGTATTTAGCTCTAGTATCCAAGTTAACGGTTTATAATAATCCATTTATTGGAAATTAATACAGGAGACAATAATGGCAGATAATCTTGTGCTAGATTGGCTCGACGAATTTGAGGCTTTAACTGAAAGTGAAATACATACGTATTCCAGTGAACAAGAGAATAATCATGAGGTGATGATAGCACTCTATAATGTTTTATCCGAACCCCAAAAGTATAAATCAGACCATGTAAGTACAAATTAATGCATTTTAATAGTTTAAAAACCTTGCACTTTGTATATGTAATTTGTGAAATTCAAGGCTGTGTTGTGTTTTAGTTAATCGACGGAATTTGTCAACAATTGTTGAATTTCTATAGGTCTGGAGAAGCACACTTAAAAAGGTTCACTATTCAGTTCATTCCAACTCTTGTGTTTTTGCATCTTTCTGATAAATCTTATTCTGCTGTCCAGACTTTGCTAGTGAGTTTGTACAACCTTGAGGTATGTGCAACTTTTTTTATATATCAAATTTACTGCAAATATATATTTCTATTTATAGGTTATAGATACAAAAGGTCAGCCTCGCACACTCTCTTTTAGAATACCTAGTATTGCTCAGTCTTCGATCTTCCATGACTCTAGTATTTTAGAACCGGCCTTTATAGCTGAAAATTCCTTAAGACGATGGGAGGAATGCAATACAAAATTAGTTAGTTGGGGGCCTTTGCCACAAGTTGAATGTCTTAATGCTCAGAATAGACAGAGAGTTGTTACAGCTTTAATATTTCTTTATAATCAACAAATAGCAAATGTTATTGTGCAAGGAATAGAGCAGACTTGTAAAGGAATTTCTAGGTAAGTTACAAAATAAAATATATTTAGGTACATTATATTAATCTTTATCTCTGCATATTCTGGATTTAGAACGTGAATTGGCAATTAATTTAAAAATATTTTTTAAAGTCAAATACCTTTTTTTATTGTTTATTCAGAAAATATGTGATTGTTTTTTAAGTATTAGATAAAAAACGAATGTTTTCCATATTATGTTATGATTTACCTATTGTTCACCACATTAATATGGTTAGATACCTACATATCTCCAATTTTAGTACTATTAATGTTTTACAGTTTAACTGTTTTATTATCTTTATTACTTATTATTTTTAAAAATTGAGCTTTATAATACTTTTAAAAAGTGTTAATCTCAAAATTACCACAAATGTTTACTCCTACATTGTTTAGATTTATAAAAATAATGATAGCATATGATAGTTTAAAGTATGTACTATATATTTCTGATTTTAATAGGTAACAAACATATCAATACAAATCGTCCCTGTCCAGGCAAATTATCTTATGAGCCATTTAAGTAATTTTATAGGAACCACCAAATACTGATTTTTCCCGCTTTTTTTGGAGATATATTATTATAGAATGATGTATTACTAGACATAATAAGCCATGATTTTAGGGCTAATTGCTAAAAAATATACTTATTAGGTTAAATAAAGGTCACTTAAGATATTTCAAAAAGGCATTTTAAGGTTTCCATGGAGTTTAAAAGATATTTTTAATGCTGTTACGTTTATTTATCTACCGATGCGCGTTAAAGACTGACGCTAAGGTGTGAAATATATCATAAGCGATAGGCGCATACGTTAATTTACACGAAAAAAAGGCAGTTGCGATATTTAATAACCTAAAATTGCCACTAAAATTAATAACCTGATCTGTGGATACAATTTTTATATTGAACATTGTGGGCCTTAAGATGTTACAATCCATGCAATGTTTAAACAGTTTTAGAACTTTGGCTTTAGAATAAAACGTAAGCGACATAAGCTTACGATATTTTAAGAAGACTATGGTGGATACAAATTGACAAAATATTGATAAAATTGTAGCTTGCAATATTTTATGATTTTTGGGTGTATAGGATGGCAAACTTTTAAATACAAATTTGATGTTTTATGAGTTTTGTAGCATAACACCAAATTGTCACTTTCATTACTTTGCCTGGACAGGGAGGAAATATACATGGGTGAACTTTTTTGATGATTTCTAAAATTTGAGTTATCACAATATTTCTGATTAAATTGTGTTTGTCTTAAATTTATTTTTGTTTGTTTTTTAATGTTAATGGTATTCCCATATAATAAATGAATTTAAATTATTGTTATCTAGATTAGTCACCCAAGGTTTTAACACCAATTCAGATAGCAATAGAAGTTCAGTCAGTGATAATAGTATTCAGAATATGTTAAGGCCGAGGATATCTGTTTCGAGTCCTTTATTAATTGAACTACTTCACATAGTCTACCACAGTGCTGAAAGGTGTGCTGTCGGAGCCATCCAGGCGCTCCATGACATAATACATCGGGCGAAATATGAATCATATGCAGGTAATACTGTTATTCATTTATTCATTATTGAAGCTGGACTAGATTTTGGACATGAGCCCTATATAGTTGGGTCGCAAAGTCTAAGGTAGCTGTACAATTAAATATAACATAAATCCTCTTTATAGTAAAATAACAGATATACAATATAATAGGATATACAATATAGGAATTACAAACAAATTACAGATATCATGTTATTAAAATTTTGACCTCAAATTAAATTATATATTGGCTATTCTTGATAAATGAGAGACATGACTGTAATTTGCTTAATGAAATGTAACAGCCAACAAACTGGTTACCAGTGGTCCTATTAGGGATCCTAAGTGAGAGAAGTCTCAGTTATGTTTAAAGTTTAAATAACAAAGTAATTTCCATAGGTAAATGTGATTTTCTTATTTTAATAAATTTATTAAAATTTTCCTCATAAGTGTAATTGCCAACCTGTATTTTATTTGCAGCAAATCTTAAAAATGTGTTTTATGTAGAAGCATATCGAAGTAACGAACATACCAATGCATTTTAATAAACCACCAAAATAACTTTAATTGATAGATCCTTTGAATTGCATATTACTAACTTCAACATTTCATGACACTTACTAGTAATGGTGTTAATATGTTCAATAAATGTCAACTGAATTTTCTTGACAGCTCTGTTAATAGGCATATTATTAAGTCAATAATTGAAAACAATGGGATTTTTAGTTCTCGCAAAAGTAATTGTCATTTATAAGAATTCATAAGTGCTAAAACTTTCCAGTATATAACAATTGTCAAGATGCTAAAGAAGGCAGCAGAGCACATAGGGAATTTTGAGATGAAACCTATGCCATCTTTTTAGGCTATTTTAAAGCTATTTTTATATTCTATTCAAAAATGTTATACTCCTCATTTTTGCAACAATCAAGGTACTCTGATAACTTCGAAAGAAGTCAGCTGAGCACCTCAGTTTTTTTAAGTTTATTTCCAATAACATCACCATATTTTTTTGGCTCTTAAAATAAAAATTGTTTCTAAAAATACAGAGTGCTTTGTTGGTACAAAGTCAGCAGAGCACCTCGGTTTATTTTTTTTTCTGCAACAACTACTTATGCCATATTTTTAAGCTATTTTTAGACTCTTGGATTATTATAAAACCTTCCGAAAAATAAGTATTTTTTAAAAAAATACAGGTGCTTTGTTAGCTTCGAACGAATCTAGCAGAGTACATCTGTTTTTTAATGCTTTTTTTCTTCTAAAAACAACCACACCACATTTTTAGGCTATTTTCAGGCACTTGAAATATTTCAAAACTTTTCTGAAAAAACATGCTATTGTTTAATATTACAGGGTGCTTTGTTGGAACAAAGTCAGTAGAACATCTCGGTTTATTACTCTCGCTTAAAAATGTGGCATAAGTAGTTATTTTTAGAAAAAAAAAAAAACTTAATGTGGTGTAGTTGTTTTTAGAAAAAAGAAAAAACAAAAACTTAAAAAAAATGAGATGCACTGCTGATTTTGTTTGAAGCTAGCAGAGCACCTTGATTTTTGTAAAAAACGAGGAGCATAATTTTTTTAAATAGGGCATAAAAATATGGCATAGGTTTTAAGTCAAAATTCCGTAGGTGCTCTGCTGCTTTCATTGGTATTTCGTCAAGAGTAGTAATTCTCAAGTACATTTTTAAGTTACCAGTGAACAGTGAACAGTTGTTATATTTTAATATTAAACCTATATCATTAACAAAGAGGTTGTGAAGCAACAGTCCCAAATGTGATCCCTGTGAAACTTCTGAGGAATTCATTACTGAATTTAAAATATTGATTTTTAATTTTCACGAACTGTTTTCTCCCACTGAGATGACTATATAACCAGATTTTAAATTCCATTAATTTCAATTTGAGCTTTACTGAAGTCAGCATAAATGATATCTACTTGATTACCTAGTTCAAATGAATTGATGATGTCATTCTAATATATTACAGTAGATTTGCCAAATGTAAAACCATGTTATTCATTAATAATTATATTTTTACTATGTCCGTATAAAGGATTTTGTTGCTTCTATTTACCGACTTAATCATGTATTTAAATGATCCAGTTGTATTTATTATTTAACAGAAGTTCTACTGGCTGCCAATGCAATTAAAAACTTACTACAGCACTCTACTTCGGTGAATAGTGTAGTACCGAGACCTTCTCATACCCATAGCATATCCAAATCTATGATAACAAATGCGTCTTTCAGAACGAAGAAACTTCCAGGTAAGCAATTTAGTTTAGACAGTAGTACTGTTGCTTTTTGGTAACATCATATTAATAAAAAATCTCACAGGCCAACTCAATGAAATAATGACACATTTAGAAAGAAATTTCTGGACATAAATGGATATTTATATAAGTTTTCAAAAACCGATTTTTTAGAGGACAAATCTTGAGGAAAAAAGAGTCATCAACATCTGGTTTAGTTGATGTATTATCTTCTTCAAAAAAACAGCTGAAATTCAATTCACAGAAAACCAAAGAAACGAATTAATTTTACGGAGTTTATGTAGTCAGTATAAAAAAAATGTCCAGGAATCAAAAAGGTAGAATAGTAGTACTATTTCTCTGCTTGGTGTCCCACAATTTTTTTGATGAGCTACTAACTTTTTAATACAATTATTCAGTTAACAATTTAATATTTGCTTGCATTTGTGTAATTGTCAGATTTATTGATTTCAGTTGTCACTAAATTTTTACCACATAATTTTTTTGATTGGTATACAGTAAATAACATTTTTTCTTCAAACATTTTTAGTCTATCTAATATTTAGCCAAGATGTCATATGTTTGGTTAAGGAGCTAGAAGGATTTTAAATATTTTCGTGACTTAGAAGATTCAAGAAATGAATTATTAAAGTAGAACTCAAAAATATAATTCCGACTTTCACAATTTCGGTGAGATGGCTTCTTTCTCATGTGCTAGTGGCAACCAAGATCTCTCTTTCTCTTACAAGTGGTACCGAATGTACTGATATCTTAACTTTGACACTAGGAATGTTATCTTCGAGTTGATGTATGCCTAAAGTTTAGTTTATTTAAAATGTCAATATAAATAGAACATTTTTACGACATTAATTTTTCTTTTTAGCGTTACATATCTACAGCATGTCATGTAGGTTTTCAGGTCAACTTCGTTTATGATTGGCTGTCAATCATACTAATAAACATTTAAATATATTTTGTAAATGATTCACTATAATATTGTGATTGTATTTAATGAATCTTGGTTTTTAAACTCTCCTAAATAGTTACAATGGAAGTCACACATAACATAATCAAAATATTATACAGTAATCATCGAGGTAGTACTAAATATCCTTTTTAACAAATTTAATATACAACTGATCACATAGAGGACTCCTGCCAAATATTAGAACAGTGTAGAGAGTTAGGTGATGGCGTGAAAGAGTTGAACCATGTACCTTGGCTAAAACAGATGCAAAATGTACTAAAGATGGGTTATATCTTAACACCTCGATGATCAACTATCCACCTCTAATTATGTTATTCAATATAATCCAACTCGACAATAATTTCTATATCATTAGTACAGTGTTTTTAGTACCATTTAATAAATCCTCTTTTAATTTCTTCATTATTCTTTAAGTTTTTTTTACATTTGGAACTAGTTTTTTGGGTGACCTGTATTGTATCTTTCAGGGCTTTGTTATGAATATTATTAAAAAATGTCGGTTGTCAGAAAAGTTGTGGGACACAAGTTCTTTATTCACATATATGTGTGTGTGTTATTCCTAAATTCTTTTTCTACCTCCCGTTCTTCTATTATTACAAAGAAATAATTATGTCACAATAATTCTAGCTCCTTAACGATTTAAAGTCCCATCTACATAAATTTGGTTGAATTCAGAATATTTGAAGAATTCGTTGCTAAATGGCATTGCTCTTTGTGATGATGCAAATAGTATAATAGAGTAAGTAGTATTCCATTTTTTCATGAAATACTCGTAGCTTGTCAAGATATGAGACTTCCAGGTTAGGGGGTATTTACTGTTATTCTATGTACCTACATTTTCGATTTGTTAAGTATTGGCCCACATATTACATCCTTTATTCTATTATTATACTTTTATTTTTCGACCATGTTTTAAATGAACTGCATGTTCTTTATAATATTATCTGATAAAGATTTTCTGTACAATTAATTTATCTTTTTTAGATTTTTAAAAAATACTAATAATAATAATAACTTATAGATGTTTCGAAAACTAGAACGACAACTCCGCCCACAACGGGCGTGTTTAGTGAAATTCATAAATATTTTTTTATGTTTCCCTTTAAAAATTTTCATAGAAACTTTTTTAAATTCAAATAAATTTTGTCAGAACCAGAGAGCTGGGAAGAGGAGTAAATGCATGTCATACAGATTTATCGTCGTTCTAACAAAATGGCACCCATATGCTGAGTTAATTTCTTGCTAGCAGTGGGGAGAGAAAATGACATTGTTAATGTAAAAATGTCATTTTAATCTTCATTTAGTAATTTAAATTTCGTTTAATACAACGGTGTGCTTCGGCCCTAAGATAAATTAACTGTAGCTTTATTAGTAAAATAGTAATATTAAAATTTTCCATAAAAATGTCCCCATCTCTAGCAACATTTTCAGTTATTTAAGTTATCGATTCAGGTTTTATAATTAATAACAATTTTATAGATGAGAAATGCGTTTTTCATACATTTTTAATGCCATAGAAATAAAATAGTTATTTGTGTACCAGAAGCTATAAATATAGACTTGATCTTTTTCGGCCGAATCAGAAATTTAAAGTAACTTCTGGTGAGTAATATTACAATGGATAGACAGATAATTTACTTCATATAGACCATTTTTTATAATGTATTATAATTCGTCAAAAATAAAACAGTTCTATGTACTAGTAATTATAAAAAATATTTAAAATTCAAACAAATCCTCTACAGAATAGACATTATCTATTTTTAAAAACTTTTTGAGCTTATTCTTAAATAAAATATCTGTTTTGCAGTTTTTATGAAGTCCGGAAGTTTATTGTATAAAATGGGTCCTATACATTTAAGATACCTACCTTTTAGTTAAATTTAATCTATATAACAACTGGTATATGACTAGTTCGAAAATGATGAAATCTATATTTTGCTTTAATTTATTTAAGTTCTTAACAACAAGTAAACAAATTTCTACATAATATAATGAAGCTAGAGGCAAAATACCGTATTCTACAAATATTGGTTGACAAAAATCATATTTAGGAACTTAACCTATTATTCTTAGGATCTTCCTTTAAAGAATAAAAACGTCACTAGAATCAGTTGAGTTTCCTCATAGACTAATCCTCCCGTATCTCAATCGAGATGCTACTTAAGCATAATAAATACAGATTAAAGTTTCATGGAAACTTCTCTTATATTTCTAAACAAGTAACATAATGAATTTATTTTTCCAAAATTTATAATGAGATTTAATCATGATGAAGTAAATAAATTCAAATTAAAAACTATAACTATATAACACAGGTACTCTAAAGGCGCCAAACCGCCAAAAACCAAACAAAAGAAATTATAAAATAACCAATAACCACACTCAAAATTATAAAAACCAGTACTGTAAAATAATGAGAATACATCAATAATGCGCATGCGTCCGAGTACTCCAGATGTCAAAAGTACAGTGTTTTCATGAAATTTTTGTTACATTTTCAGCAGCGTTAGAGTACTATTTCTACCACGCGCACCCGTCGATATTGGCATTCCATTTTAAATATACAGTTCACTGCCCATACAACACAAACACATTTCGGAAATATTTCAAAGATATTACATTGAAACATTTGTAATGTATAAATATTTCGGAACATCCCAGAAACATTTTTGAAGGGTGTCTCACGTAAAAGTGCCCTGTAAATATAATATTTCAAAGTAATATTTCTGAAATAAAAATTTGAAATCTTTTAGAAATATTAAATAGTAATATTTCAGAAATGTATTCTAGCTTTTTTTTCTAAAATATTAGACTAAAAAAAACATTTATAAATATACAGGTTTATTTAAAATACACAAAACTCAAACATTGATTCTTAAACAAACAAATAAAAAATTAATTAAACATTATTACGTAAAATATAGAGGCGAATCGCTTCATTTTCACAAATTCCTTTAAATGCATTAATCTGAAACAAAATATTTTTTTTTTTAATAAATGCTCCAAGTAAAAAACATTTACGATTATTACAATCTGATCAAAGATCAGTTAGCAATTTTATTCTAATCTAACTTATCAAGGGATGAAAAACTTCATAAACTAATATTATACTCACTAGTATACCTTAGAGTCTAATTATTTAGTTACACTACCGTTAACGTATAACACTTAACTGCACTATGCTCTGCTTTAAGATCACTGAACTAACTCAAAAGGCTTGGTTCTCTTGAGTCTTCTTATTAGATTGGTATTGGCTGTCGTTGGTGACTATACTGGCAAATTTTTGTATTGCATTTTCAACAGCCTCCGCTTTAAGGTCCTTATGATGATCAGTATTGTGGCAGTACCAGGGTGCATCGACGATGTTCCTTAATACTTTATTCTGGAAACGTTGAATAACTTCGATATTACTTTTACTGGCACAGCCCCAAAGCTGACGAATCGCTTTATTTTCACCAATTCCTTTAAATGCACTAGTCTGAAACAAATTATAGGTAATTAAAAGGTCTATTAATATTGTTTTAAATTAACTATAATAAAACAAACAATACTTATGTCTACACAAAACATGAAGCTCCACTTTTCAATCAGCTGTAGAACTAATAAATAAAACTGGTGGAGGGACAGCAAATGTAGGTTATATTTAAATAGAAATAGGAATACAAAATGCCTATAAATTTGATAAACGAAATGGCGTCACTCGTCTCAGAGAAGAGATAAAGTTAATAAACCTAACCTAAACAATCATTGTAATATCTAAAGACATATTCTGCCTATTCTGCTTCCCAGCACAACGCATAAATAACAGAAAAAGGAAATAACAAAAACCGACAACTTAAATCTATAATTATTTAGAATATAGGGTTGTCTCTGGCTGGACATAGGATGAAATAAAATAACTACATATCCCATCTTGATCTTCTTACAAATCAGAAATTCTTCATTAAGTGTTGGCCTTTTACACCATAACCCGTTTAGTAACGTTTTGTGTGAAATGTATACCATGTTTCAAAAAAAATTCAGTGAAATATTTAACTAAAATATTTCAGAAATATTTCAGAAACTTGTGCTTGAAATGTTATATGTTTGAAACGTTTGAAATAATTCTGAAACACTTCTGAAATAATGTGTGCTGTATGGGTGGTTACGAATAGAATAAGAATTTAAGTAGTGAAAATGGTGTCGCCATCTGTTCCCAGTAAACAAAATCAAAGGTAGCTTGTAGTACCCAGTTATAAAACTAGGTGGAAACAAAAAGCCAGGCTGGCAATTTTTAAAAAAGGAAAATAATTCCAACTGAAATGTGACCAAGACGTAAAATAACATAAATAATACCCAAAGTCATATGTCACAAAATAGAAGCGACCGTTTCCATTCGGAAAACAACTCCTTCTTTGGCTAATACCTCAACAGGTATTGAATTACATCCAAAGGAAAGAGCAGAGATAGAAATTAAATTTAAACACTTTACCTTTGATTTTGCTCATTTGGACTGGTTTCGTCCTTAATAGGACTTTTCAGCAAGAAATAGATGGTTCTCTAATTAATATTATAATTTATTTGTCAATAAAATGATGCATAAGCAACTAACAATACAAGAAAGTAGTAATATTGGCTGCCTAGATGTCAGTAATCTAGTCAAAATTAGAAAAAATATTGTATGTAACACGTTATGAAAGGCCTTTTTATGTAATTCGTTCATATTGCGGGATCTCGCTCTGCTCGTCCCGCAAATATTCACTCGTTACATAAAATAAGGCATTTCGTAACTGGTTTCATAAATACTAAAAAAAATATATAGCAGTTTCGTTAAATTCGTTTATACTAAACTAGTCCATTGTGTAGAGTAGGATTCTACACAAGACGATGGCAGCGTTATGCATGTATAATGATCATAACTGTACACTCGAAATTTTAAAGATTTTGATATTTTCGTGATTTGGATTTAGGTTAAGTGTACAGTTGCTTTGGGCGTTTTTGAAGAAAAATTATTGTGGATTTTTAGACATACAAAAAAAAATGTTAATGGTCTATGGTTATATTTTTTTACATTTCATTTCATTTTACCATTTGTTATCCTAGCATTTATAATTATTCACTTATTATTTTTACATCAAAGAGGATCAAGCAATCCTATTAGAACAAAAAGAGATATTGATATAATTCCTTTTCACCCTTATTTTGTTTATAAATATATTTTAGGATGATTAATTTTAATATTTTTATTAAATTTCCTAACACTAAGAAACCCTAACAAAAAAACTCAGTGAGAAGGGTTGCTATATCTAAGGGGATGCCACATACGATGTATTCTATCCAAAATAAGAATTTCGGCTCTAATTTCGGTTTCGGCGGAAAACTGGCTGAAACAGTAACTAAAGCCGAAACTACTTTTGTGTCATAAAAATTACATTTTTATTTTTAATGGTTTTTATAGCTTTGTTGGCTACTCCTTAAATTCGTAATTATTAAACCTAATATAATATTATTTTTTGTTACAAAAATCCATTACCCACATAGCAACAGTGGTTACTTTCTAATTCACTTACTATTTCAAAAAGTAATAAAAAAACAAATTAAAGGACTTTTTTAATCATATAAATAAATAGGTAATAAGTGTAGCTAATATTCACAATAAAAGTAGTCTGAAACTAGGATTACAATAACATCTTGCAAATTCCAAAAATAAATTTCGTTAAAAGTTTCGGTTTCGGCCAAAACTAAGACAGTAATCGAAATTCTGTTTCGGTTGTAAAACCTTGAAATCACGAATAATCGATTAAATTTAAATATTTTGTCGAACAATGAAAATCTTTTAAAAAAAACCGCATATACATTTCTACTACTATTTTGAATAAAAATAGCGTCCAAGATGGAAGACTATGACGCAACCCCCTTAGATATAAATAGACCATCTCAGTCGTTTTATTACTTGAAAAATCTCTAACTGTAATCCTCGCTTATGGTATATACCTAAAAAATATATATTTTTGCAGATGACATTCCCATCCAAGATCCCAACCAACCGTTGTCTGGCGAGGCAGCGCTAGATTCCATTACGGAAGAGCAAGAAGACACTGAAAAGACGAAAAGCAGAAGTTCGGTCAGCGCGTTGAAGCATCTACCGAAAATACCCGGTATCGGTAAGAAGCACAAGACGAAAAACAACCCGCAGGGGGATCATATGATGGACATGTCGGGTTCGAGCGACGCCGCGAACGAATCGCTGACGAACGATTCGAATCACACCACCGTGCACGTTAGCGCCGTTTAATGACCCAACGGAAAACTATAGGAATAAATTAGTCCAATACTATTTTAGATCGGAAGGAAGTTAGTTTCGGGATGTATGGTGAAGGATTACTTTTCAACTATGAATAATATCTGAGGTATTTAAAAGAGCATTTAATATTTTTTATGAACTTGGTCCTAAGTTTTTAAAAGTACAATGTTTCATATTATTTTTGTCATTGTGATAATCTGGGTTGATAACGAGTTATACGTAAATCTACTATTTTTCAATTAATAAGAAGACTTAAAGGGTGTACACACTAAACATAAGGTGAACAAAATGAGACGAGTACATCAGGGTGTAAAATTAAATTTATTAAAATCAGGCGAGTGCTTTGTGATTTACAAAGCCTCATCATAGATAATTTCCAGCCATTTCTAGAGACAATGTTTGTCAAAAAATAAACATTTTTAGATTTATAGGATAAATGGTTCCTAAGATATGGATGTATTTATCAGATGAAGGCTGTGATGCTCACCTAATTTTATTAAATTTAATTTTAATACTTATTCTCGTTTTATTTTCTATACTTTATTTTTCATTTTATGATTTTTTTAGTTTAGTAAGTTCTTGTAATCTGCGACAATAATGATTCAATCAGATTTTTATCGATGTCAAAGTAATTTTCTTCCGATCTAGACTATTTTCAAATCGTAGAAAGATACTTAATACACATCACTTATTTTTTCTACGAGAATATACCTAATGTACCTTTTCAATTTTTGAATGTGGTAGTAGCAAATCGTAGGTATTTAAGATATCGAGATATATACCTATTATATCTATAACAAAATTTTAAAATATATTTTGTCTTCTTGATGAACGTTATATTTATATGTATTAATTTTTATATATTATTATTTTTTACAATTATTGTATATTTGTTATATTATATAATACATGTCGGTGAAACAACAAGACAAAATATTTATGATAAATTAAAAGCAATACTTGCGTGTTGTAATTTATAATTTTTTGCTTTCGTTATTATATTGTGATATACCGAGTTAATTATTTTTAAATATATGCTTTAGGTCAGTGAAGTTGGTAATTGAATCCTTCAGTCCCACATAATAATGCAATATAGGAAATGGTTGAATATATAAATTAGGTTAAATGGGATGAAAGTTGCTGATCGCATATGGCAACAAAATATGTTATCAACAGATCCCTAAAATTTGGTTAGTAGCGCCCACGTCTCGTTTTCATGGGACCACCTTTAGATTAATTATTTCAAATACGATCTAGAAATATATATTTTTTTTTAAATAAAAATCCATGAAAATAAAAATTGCAAATTATTATTTAAAATAGTTAATCTGAGAGTTGTTCCACGGAAACGCAATGTTGTGATACTTATCAAATGTAGTTTTCAGGTATTGTTCATTTTAAGTAATGAAGCAGGTCAGCATTGTTTTTTTTTTTTTCTTAAATTATCACAACCTGTTTAAGGGTTCCTTCCATCTTATGAAGTTGTGGACTGTACATAAATGAAGAATGAATCTTGTAGAGAATCTTGTTGCTAGGTTGATTGATTGGTGTGAAACGCAGAAATTAAAGTACTTGCTTCTGATAGCTGGTTTATTTTACTTCTTAAACTTTGTATTCAATAACCACATAACCCTTGAATAATGAAAATACTTTTAAATTTGCGACTATTTCGTGAGGAGATTGATTTTGTTCTTTCTTGTTTGGAGGTTCAAATAGTTCTCAACTTGAAAAATGTCCTGTCGTGTCGTGTCAAAGAGTATGTCTTGTGATTGGTTTAAAGAAATGATGTGGTTTGACCAAGTTCGACGTGGAGAGAAATAGAGAATGTGTTAAATTGTCGAGGGAGGCTTTTTGCATGTATTGAACAAGTTATATTAAACGTTTTTAAATAGTTCTGTGAGTATGAGCGAGTTGGAGATTAGGTTTAATTAAGCGTGTATTTTTCACAAAGTGGGAAAGTTATATCTTGACTAGGTTCTCAACTGCTTCGCATGAAAAGTTTTTGGGATATTTGAAAATATGTTAAACGGTATTTACCAGGGTTGGCTTTGATTTTAGTTTTTTATATAATTGAAACATGATTATTATTTTTTGTAAGATTATTAAATTAGGTAATGCAAACTACAGATTGAATAATGAAATATATTGTTGTTCTTGTGTTAACTATATAGTATTACGTTACATTACTTATACGGGGGTGGATTATAAAGAAAGATATATAAAAAGCATCTGTTAAAAAATTCTTATCATTTCTGAACAAATAACTCAAATAGCACCCTTACCCTTGCATTCCTGGTTATTTGAAATCTGTTGATACCATATTGTTGCCATTAGTTATACATAATTTTTATCTCATTTAAGCTAATTTGTATTTTCAATCTAGATCCCGGGACAGATCTCTACCTTATCATGTATATCAGTGGTTCCCAAACTTTTTCGAATCGTGTCTCTGTCTTTGAATTATTTTTTTTATGGCGCACTAACTAAAAATATGACTAATCGGAAGAAAGAGTTAAAAAATAAATTGAAAAGGGGAGTAGCCATGTGTGAATTGAGGCTTCAGGGACGCCATGCGAACCCCAAGAGGAGTGAAAGCAGACTGATTGAGGGAAGTCTGTGGCTGGGCCTAAGCCTGATTTGAGGGAGTTTGCCAGAATCCGTCGGGATGAACAGAGGGATGCCTGAAAGGGTGAAAAACAAAACAAAATCTCACAGGATATGTATATTTTAATTGCTACCAGTTTTACGACTTCCATCTTCTGGCACACTTACTTACCTACTTTTATAGTTTTTTTCACTGTCTATAATCGCTCCTTTTATGACTATTGACACCACAAGAGGTCTCAACGAATTATCTGTCTTGGTAGATAGAAGTGTTTTATTACCTGTGGTTATTACCGATACAAGACCTTTTTGCAAAAACGAGAATTTTGTTGTTTTAGAGCTTTCATTTGGCGAGTTTTGAAACAAGTCCGTTTTATGTTTGGTACATTTTGAAATTCTTTTGCAATATTTCGCGGGGCATATTTTGGGAATCACTGCTGAATGTCAAAGATCTGCTGTATCTAAAAAAATATTCTTCGCTGACTTAATAGAGATTTTTATATATCTTTTATAGTATTTTCACCCAAATTTATAAGTGATAAACATTTGAAATATCTAGATTACCAAGTAATCATTTCAAAATATATATGTAAACCTGAAATTTGGGTGAAGATACTGAAAAATTTGAGTATTTGTGTATAACACTTAAAAAAAAATTTTAATGCCTAGATAGTATAAAAAACGTATTTAAGTGTAATCTTTGCTGTTTACTTTTTTAAAATAATAAGCCTAAACTATGAAGCAAATAATAATAATATTAATAATAAAAAAGGTGCCACTGAAATTGTTTCCTGCATTCTTCATCATGGTCTAAGATACGAAGTAAGGTCGACCTTCGTCCATATGTTTAACTGATGAAAAGTTTATTTTTATTAAATAAAATATGTTTATAAAAGGTACTGCAAATAGGTAGCCTAAGAAAATACGGTCATGTCTTTATTTTCTTAAAGTAAAAAAAAAACGACACCCATCCTTCGACTATGCCCAAACTTTAATCAGCTCAACGCAGGATGGATTATAAAGCTTAAGTTTAAAATTAGGTGTTTTTCTCTTCATCCGTTTTTGAGTTATCTTCAAAATTTTAAATTTGCACTTTTCCTCAAATATCTCGAATTAGGTCCATTTTAGGGAAATCACGTTTAGGAACAAAATTATAGAGAATGACATCACAAGCAACTTTTATCATGATTCCTATACTTTTCCTATCTGTATATAGAAAGGAAAGTTAAAAATGGCCATTACCGTATTTTCTTAGGCAACCCATTTCCGTTATATTTATAAACATATTTAATTTAATAAAAAAAACTTTCATCCATTAAACAGATGGGTGAAGGTCGGCCTTACTTACGGATCCTGTACAATTAATGATGATCTTAATTTTTTAACTGTTCAATTTAACTTTGGGTGCTTTCTAATCGACATTTTTTAAATTGGTATTGTTTGTTAAGGCATAATATTACTTATGTTATTATGAGTATCAAAATTCGTTTTTTTTTATTAGTGGTACATGGTCATTAATTAACATTCGACCATTTTTTAAAGCTTATGAATCCACAAGAACATAACAAAAAAATACTGTATACAATGTCTGGTCAAATAATCCTGTGAGTGAGAAAATAAAATAATTTTCGTAATAAAATATATAGTTTAAAAAATTGGTAATATATCTTTTCAATATTATGAAATCATGTTTTGAAATATTAAGATCATCTTTTTCGTAAATCTTTGATTGATTAAAGTGTATTTTAAAATTATAACAAATTTTTCCTATGCAAGGTACCTCAAAAAATTCGTACATTATTTTTGATTAGATATCACCAATTACAAAAAAACTGCTCGACTTATCCATTCTTATTAAGCCCTTATTTATTGCAAGTATTCAGATTTTATTTTATGTTAGATAGACAGCTGTCACATTGGCTGCCACATTAGAAAGAGCGAGAAGCCTTTTAAATTGAGTGAGGATGGTTTGTGCGAGCATGTTTAGTTAAGGTACAACCAGAAAAAAAGAGATTAAACATATAGGCAATAATGGCATTAAGAGTGCCAATGTACTTCCTTCATATAATTTTGAAACCCCTTTGTGCGTTTTAGAGCCCTATATTAAGTCATTTCCGAATTATAACCATAAAAATCCTCGTAAAAAGACTTTTCCATAATAATTTGACAATTATGTAGATAACATCGTTTAAAATTCGATTTTTGTAAACAAAATTAGTTTAGTACTTGTGAACATTTTGTGAACACCCTTAAATTATTTTCCAATTTTTTATATAGTTCTATAAGCAAACAATATAAACATTTTTATTCTGTCCTGCTGTCGAATCACTCCATGCTATCAAAAGATCATTGTAAATATTCTCGAGAAAAACTCAACTTCTTCATGCCCACGAGATTATTAATCTCCGGTTTAGATATGAAAATAACCTTTCCCATTTTAGTGTTTTGTAGTAATCAAATTATAAAGCGTTACTTGTCTTAAGTAACTTGTCTTAAAAAAGATGACTAAAACGTTGTT